GCAGCAGTGGTGGTCTCAGCCGTAGTGACCGGTAAACCCGTAGTCACAGATGGGCATTGACACCAACCCAAGGAAACGGAAGTCAACTTGAGTGTTGTAATCCTGCATAACAACCTGTCCATTAGTTGGCACGAAGTTGACCAAGTTACCCTTATTAGCCGTACATATTTGATTGTCGTTCATACCACAACCACATCCACCAGCATACAATTCACCATCAGAAATTGGATCGTTTAAAGGCTTCCTATAAACAGCATCCTCACCATTCCTGTAGTAGAGATAATTATCAGGCGTGACAGTGAAACCTTCAGTACCAGGGATGCCGAGGTTGACGTACATTTTCGAGGCCTGATAAGAGTATGGCAACCAAGCAGTGACACCAGTGTCAACACGAATGTACATATAAGGTGCCAAATAACGGATGCTCGTGGGTTTGTTGAGACCCTCTGGACTATCATAAGGAATACCCTTGATGAGCAAGTTGTTTGGTAGACTAACTTGAGAACCGGCAACCCAACCAAGAGTCTTCCAACCGGTACCATAGGGAATGCGTTCGAAACCAAAGACGCCGTTCCAAGTGTTGGCAGTCACATACAACCTATCAGGATTGCCAGCGGCATAGGCCAGACCAGTATAACCCAAATACATATTATCATTGGCGATGACTCTGATGCTATTGTAGACCACAGTGCTGATGACAATTACTCTTTGCTCACTAATGGCATAGACCTCTGAGCCGTCAGGATTGGCCTGCATGTCAGTGATGGGATGCTCAGCTAAAACCTCGTATGAGGACAAGTCACAGGAGGTCCTCCACAACCTCGACTTACCATCAGATTGAGTACCGGCGATATACCAACGACCAGCACTATCAAAACTGTAGGCAACTACATCAACATCCCCCATTGGGAGCATATTGGGATAGTCACTTCTATCAACCGAACAGAAGTCAGCCGAACATTGACCGGACAGACCTCTCAAGGGGGAAGCATTCACGGTGGCTACAACCAGTGCAGAAACAA